CTTATAGCTCAGTTGTCCTACCCTTCAGCCATCCTTCCCAACCCCTCTCTCATCACCTCAGGAGCCCTGGTTTAGCAATCATTGTGACTTTGAGGTTGTGAAGTCCTTGCCTACTGAGTTGAAAAGACAAGAGAGTTGTTGATTCCCTACTTCAGGAGTGCTCAAAAGTTAGAGGGAAAAAAACATAGTTAGGAACAGTTATGACAGAGCCATATCTTAGATTAATGAATTGCTTTTGTGTGCTTTCTTGAAAACTTAACATGTAAGAGGTTATTTCCAGTAGCAACTTTTGCATACCAATCAACTTAACATCTGAAATGCAACCCACGAGTAAATTAGAAGGAGTCTATGTTATGTTCCAAAATGATTATAAAAATTCCATTTCCCTACAGCACCTTTAAAAAGTGTTGAATGTTCTAGAGTAAAATGATTTTCCTTATAAGATGCTGGTACATCCCCCTCACACTGTAGACACACACATTCAATAAGTAAAAATAATATGAGAAAAGCCCAGATCTATTAAAAAACACCTGAATTAGAATATGACTTTAAAATTTGAATTTGAGTTAACTATTAAGCATCATGAAAACAGTCTTCCATTTGCACAAAAGCCAATTTCTACATAACTTTTCAGAGTCTGGCTAGTATATGTAACAAGATGAACTACAGATACCTTTGCTAGGGTCACTGTGGATCTAGACAATAGAAAAATACTTTAAAAATCTTTGCTATGTGAATCATAAATAATATGACTGCACAGATTTGTAACATTCCCAAAGAAAAGTATTGGAGAATTTTATTCATATCTGGAAACAAACTCAGTTCATTTATTGGTGTTCTCCATAAAGCACGCACACACACACACACACTCATGCACACAAATAGACACATGGTGCTTGATTCGAAATATCTTCTTTTAGGCTTCAGTATCCTCAAAGTAAAGGCCTTTCCTTATTCATGTTTTAATTTATTTTACTATGGCTACTTGTTTTCTTGTCTTACTAAATGTTTGCTGAACTGAATAACATACCTTAACTACATACATCTGGAATTTCTGTTGTGAACTTTATTTAATGGCAAATGGAAACGATTTGTGGGTTTTGTGGGGCTATCATTTTCAATCTCCTGATTTTTGTGATTTTGAGGGGCTGGCCATAATGCTATAGAGTTCTCTGATTTTATTTCTTTGGTACAAAAAAAGCAAAATGAATGAATTGTGATTGAGCCATGGAACCCAGTTGCTTGCATATGTAATAGGGATTCTAAATTACCACATAAACACAGCTGCAGTTTTTCAGTCCGAAGGCCTCGAGAAGCATGCCGACTGGGGAGTGGGGGTATTTGGAGCTCTAAATTTAAGTGCATTATTATGAGCTGTGATAGACAATCATCCCTTCTTATTTAAATCTCTGGGCAACTATAAAACTAGACTGAGTCAAGTTTCTTATCTATGCCCAAATCTGAGCAAGCAAGCTTAGCTCATATCTTAAAAGTTGACAGTTGTACTTTATGGTATGTCATCAGCTGCTACATTTATGAAGCTACCAGAAGGTTAATAGTTTAGGAACAGTTTATACTTTAATTATCTCATAAAAGATATTTCAAGTCATCCAAATTGATATACATCATGCTTTCTTGCAGGGCAATAACTTCATACAGGAAAACAGATGTTTATTTACATATACAGACACATATATACACATTAAAACCTTTGTGCATGAATGTTAGCTTGAAAACAATAAGGAAAGGTAAATTTTAAAATACATTTTCTTGCTAGTTTTCGAATCACTCATATTGGAGGAGAAAATACCTCTACATAAACTTGTTCACTAAATTTGTTATTTAAATTAATTTAACAAGAAATATGTTTCATGATTTAAGCAGTGCTTTCATAAAGTTTATAATTCAATGCCTTCTTTTAATATGCTTAATAATATTTAAGATATTTTGAACAAAATTAATTAATCATTTATGGAAAATAGAATCCTATGGCTATAATCCCTTAAAGTATTCAATTGAAGCAAATCAAATCAGGAAAGTTTTGCATACAAAATGAAATGAGAACTATCACCGTGCCTTAATACTAATTAAATTAATTCAATAAAAAATTGGAATCAGAGTCAAAATGGCCACATTATAACACTGACTCTGATTCCAATTTTTTATTGGATACACAAGATGGAAACCATTGACCTCAGACTGCTGTAAGCCCTCAAAAATGGAACACCTGTGTCTAATTCTGTATTTGTGAAAACTATGTTGTCCCTCATTATATTTTTCCTCTTATTCCTTGGTAGTAAAACTTCTAGCTGTACATATGGCTCCCGAGAATGAAGACTGTGCTCCCTAGCATCCCCTCAGCATCTTTGGGGCTACTGGATAAATTCTGAGCAATGGATATAAACAAAGTGTTGTGTGGTTGCATCTGGGAAGTTCCTTTATGCTTTGCCCCTTATTTTTCACCCTCCTCTTCCTGATGGCTGGACATTTGTACAATGGCCAGACCTGGAGAAACCATCCTGGGGGCCCTTGGGAATGGAGGTCCAGCCTTGGGGAGCAACAAAGTCAGAGGATCCTAAATTTCAAGAAGTAGGATCCTGGAACTTGGGCTTATAGACTTTTAAATGAGAGACGATAAAAACAGAAAGTCCTATTTCATTTAAGAAATGAATAGTTTTTATTTTTCTATTACTTCTAGTCAAACCTAATCCCAATTCCTATTTGGCTGTGACATCAGATCCTTGTGCAGTGACTGACACATAGGAGGTGTTCAATAGATGTTTGAAGCAATCTGGGAGGTATTCCTGATACCTTCTCCTTCCCCATAACCAACTCAGCATTGACTTCTATCAGTTTTACCTTCTGACATCTCTCAAATCTGTGCACTTGTCTTAATCCCCCTCTACTCTTGTGAGCTGAAGCTTGCCTAGACCTTGTCTTGCCTAGGCTACTCAAAAGCCTTCTGAACAGTGTCATCATATCACACCCTTTTCCAGTAAAAAACTTGTTTTTTGTTTTTTTTAGGAGCCAAATCCTTGACATAGGCTATAGGTCTTATTTCACATCACTTTTAGTCTTGCCATCTGAGTGCCCCATTTCCTTCCCACCTTTTCTGAATTCACTTCTAGGAATCCTCAGGACTCCCCTTAGCACTTCCCAGAAAAGACTTCCTTCTGCAGAAAATCTCTCATTATCTTTTTATGGAACCACACATTTCTGTATGTGACATAGCTTGTCTCTCCCAGTAAAATGTAAGCCCCAAAGAGGTAGCCACTGTGAATGTTTTATATACTTTTATATCCTCAGCGTCTAGTATGGTGCCTGGTACATATTAGATGCTTAATATAATTTGCTGAATGAATAAATGGTGTTGCAAATGCCATTGTTGGGATTTGGCAAATCAGTGGGCTGGCAGTTACTGGGATTTAAAAGACAGAAAGAGAGGAGGAAAGAGAGAAGGGGAGAGAGGGAGAGGGAGAGACAGAGAGAGAGAGAGAGAGCAGTGGCGGGGAGGAACTTTTATGTTTACCTTATAAAATAGACATTTAGCTCCCTAGCTTAGTCAAATTCTAAATAATCTTAACTCCTAAGATTGGATGGACTAAAGTTTGAAGCCTACTGTTTTCCCATCACTGTCTTGAGCCTGACATCTAATAATTAGATTAGCAGTCATCAAAGTGATTCCAAGACCCCTGGTGGTCCTCAAGACCATTTCTGGGGGGTCCATGAGATCCTGCCTTTCCAAGCTGGATACGGTCATATTTTCTTCACATACTTCAACTCAAACAACATACTGCAGCAGATTGAATGCAGAAGCAGTTATGGGACTCCAGCTATACTATTAAACGAAATGCTATGGTTTGAATGCTCACTCGAAAAATCATGTTGAAATTTCATTGGATAAATTAATTGGGACATGGGACCTTTAGGTGGTAGATTAATACCCTTATTGCAGGAGTTGAGTATTCATCTCAGGAGTGGGCTCCTGATAAAAGGATGAAGTATGGTTTCTGTTTTTCTCTCTGCCTTACATGCTTCCTTGTCCTTCTGTCATGTTATGATGTAGCAAGAAGGTCCTACAGATACAGCCCCTTGATCTTGGACTTCCCAGCCTCTAGAACTATGAGCCAAATAAATTTATTTTCTTTTAAAATTACCCGGTCTGTGATGTTCTGTTATATTAGCAAGAAACGACATTTAAGCATTTTGCAAAAATGTAAAATAATGCCCTTTGTTCACTAAATAGTTTCTTGTTTTGGAAAATATAGTTGTTTTTAAGAAAACATGTTCTTTACATTAATACATAAGAATTTACCATCATTAATTTTAAATGATTAGTAAAAATATTTTAAACATTACTCATTTTCCATTCTAATTCTATTGATGCTATTTATAATACCCTATTTATTGATGCTATTTATATATCCTATTTATAATCCTCAGAACCAAAGCTCTTTGGGGTCCTCAATACTTTTTGAGAGTATGAAAGAGTCTTGAGACCGAAGCATTTGTGAACTGTTGCATTGAAAAAATCATTTCTTTGGTTTAAGACTTAGTCTTCTTAATCTCTCAAACTACAAGTAAATAGGAATGCAGCAGTAGAAAGAACCTAGATTTTTGGCATTAGTCAATGTGGCTTGGAAAGCTGGTGTAGCCTTTAACTGGTTGTGTGACCTTGAGGAAGTCAGGTAACTTCTGCGAATCTCATTTTTCTCTTCTTAGGATAAAAACACCTCTGTAGGTTATTGTGAAAATAAAAGAAAAACATGAGAAAGCACTCGGCATAGTGCTGGCACATAATAGGTATGTGTTTGGCACACAGAAGTATTAAATTTTATTGTCGACTATACATTGGTGTGAGTTTGTTAATCTTTTTTCAAATAGCTTTTAAGGGTCTGGTGATGCAGTGGTATGTGGTAAAAGTTTAGTAACTAGCTCTCTGGAAATAAAGATTCCTGTTTTTTAGAATTTGCTGATTCCCATGCTGTAAATATTCCTACCTTGGCTGATTTAAATGTTTGTTTGGAGGAGATGGACTCAAATCACTTGTGAACAGGTATGAGGCAGTTTCAGCATAAAATGTTCTGGGCCCATGAGTGGAATCTAGAAAGAGGAGACACGTAAGGTAGAACAAGAGTCTCAGGACCTGATGGCAAAATTTCAGCTAATTTAATATTTTGCCTCAAGCCTTTCCTTTAACGCTTAGAGTTCCCAGTTTTCTTTTTGGTTGGATTGAATCATTGGTATCACCAACAGGGTGCCATGAAGACTTTCGTATTCAAGTTATCTGCCACCGACTCTCACATTTCCACCAGAAGAGTTACTATTTGGGGAGACATATTGTCCAGATAACTTAGTTAAAATAAGGGATCATTGGCAGATTAGTCTAGCTTAGATGTCACAGGTGTAATGCCCTAAAATGATGCTGCAGAACAGTGGATCTCAAAGAGTGCACCCCAGACAAGCAGCAAGGTATCACCTGGTTGTTGGAATTGAAAATTATCAGATCCCACTCAGCCCTATTACATTGTAAATTCTGGGGGTGGGGCCCAGCAATCTGAGTTTTAACAAGCCCTTCCTAAAGAACCCCTGGTGTAGGAGGGGTGGGAAGACTGCAGTGTTTGGAGCAGGGAGTGATCTGGGCATCCTCAGTACCCCAAGGGAGCCTGGGGCAAAGACAAGCTGAGACTGGGCACAGTAGGTGCTGTTGGTTCCCAGCTGGAGCCCCTTCATTGATCTGGTACTTCCCTCCCCTTCTGTGGTGTGTTGATTGCTAAGGGCCCAAAGATGTTCCCTTCTCTGGAGTACTGCCAGGGCTGCATGACAATAGCTACAAAAGCCTTCCCCTTTGCTTCAAAGTGAGACTAACCCTGTGATGTAGTTCATGTTCCTAGTGGGATAGACTAAAGTCAGTTTCCAGTTGAGATGAGAGTCTTGCTCACCTTCTCCCCTGCCCAATTCTGCTCCCCCCACTCTTCTCCTAACAGCACTCCTGACGATAATTGCCTCAGCATGAATCTTGGTCACAGGTTCTGCTTCTAGGAAACCTGATCTGAGACGGGGTTTCAAAGTTAGACAATTCTGGGTTTGTGTCTGGACTTCCCGGCTTGTTAACTATGTGACTTCAGGTTTGTTGGGTAATCTCCCTTGTCTTAGTTTCCTTAGTGTTAAATGGAGATAATGATGCCCACTTTGGGGGTTTGCTGTGGTAATGAAAGGGACACTGTATAGAAGTCCTCAGCACAGTGCCTAGAGGGTGGTATGAACTGTCCAGAGCCTCCTTTGATCTTTCACTGACTCGCCTTTTGGCCTTGGGCATGTTAATGTTTTCATGTTGTCTGTTTCCTTTGTGGGGACTCACGATGTGTCTAACACCAGGCTACCTCATTAATAACTAGAAGTGAGAAATATTGTTTCAAGTGGTAAAGTACTTGGCAAAATGTGGAGTGTGGGCACAAAGCATAACGAGCACTAACTATACAACAGAAGGTGGAGATACTGGGAAAGAAGTGTCTGGGAGTTCAGAGGCTGGGAGAGGTGGCTGCTCTGGCTAGAGGCTTCCTGGGATTTTCCTCCCCCACCCCCTCCCAAGTAGCAGCAGCACAGTGAACTTGAAGACCTTGGAAACTGCAACTTGGTTCTGCCCAAGTCTGAGAAGTCTTATAAACCCCGAGGCAAAAAAAGGCAGGAGAGATTGGGATGACTTCCCGCCTATGCCCTGTCTTTATCCAGAGTTCCTTCTTGTCTTTGAGGTCTAGACTCAGTTGTCTCTTCACAGAAGCCTTCTCCAACCAGCCCATTTTACATGCCCTTCTCCATCTCATGGCCCAGTTTTACTATTTTCCCAGCACTTACCTCCACTAGGCAGTAGTTTGTCCGGGTGTTTGCTGAGGTGTGTATAGTCTGTCTCCTGTTGGAACTCCTGAGGGTAGGGGCTCAGTGTGTCCTGCGCCCTGCTCTTTCCCAGCTACACAGTAGGTCCTCAATCAATACTTGGTCTTGGAGCCACTGGATTCTAAGATATTGTTGGTAAGTGGTAAGCGAGTGCAGCCCTTTGGAAACCTCTTGGCCATGTCTACCAAAGCTGAGCAAATGCCTTCGTAAGATCCAGCAATTCCATTCCTAGTTATTTATCCACAGAAAAGGAAAAGTGGTCATCAAAAGGCATCTACCAGAATGTTCACAATAGCATTTTTTATAACAACCACAAAACTGGAAGCTACCTATATTTCATTAAAATAGAATGAATAAACGAATTGTAATATATACAAAGGAATACTGTGTACAGCAATGAGAAACAACCATCTTCAACCATAGGCAAAAACATGGATGAATCTCACTAGCATGCTATTGAGTGAAAAGAAACCAGACACAAAAGAGCACATTCCCTATGATTCTATCTACATAATGTACAAAAACAGGCAAAACTAGTCCTGGTGTTGGAAGACAGGGTAGGGATTGCCCCGATTGGTGGAAGAGCTGAGGGGGCATTGAGGGTGCAGGTCATGTTCTGTTGCTTGGTGTGACTGCTAGTTAAACAGGTGTGTGAAGTTCGTGAACAAGCATCTAGCTGTGCATCAGGCACCTTTGATACTGCAATGAAATATACATTACAACAATTGCATGGGGTTTTGCCCAGGACAGTGTAGCCGGCCTCAATAAAATTTCCATTAAAAAAGACCTGCTGGGAGCTTGGAGTCCCAGAGTTAGGAGCTCACTCCTGCAAGATCCGCGCGGCCCCACCCTCCCTGTTCTTCCGACGCGCTGCCAGGCCAGCGAGGGCTCACCAAGCTGCCTAACGCACAGCGGAGGAGACTCGAGTCCCGGGACCCGGGAGGGGTCGCCCAGCGCTCTCAGCCGGCTCGCAGAGCCAGGGCCGGGCTCAGGGAGCTTCACAGCAAGAAACACTTAAGGTGTAAAGCTCCAGCGAGCAGTCGATTCTCAGTCCTGCAGCCTAAGGCAGCCCCTCCAAGCCGTGGGCGCCTGCCGTCCATCTCCTCACCGCGGCGCCCTTTACTCGGTCACCCTGGGCACGGCGAGGGGCTTTGCCGAGCTTCGGTCCGCCGTGGTCTCGGCCGCCGGTCGCCGGAAGCCCGGAGCCGGGACACGGGGGTTGGGGGTGGGTTCCAGTGTCGCACGGGAGTTCAAAGCCCGGCACTGGCACGGGGTTCCGCCGCCGCAGCCGCTGGAGCCTTGGGCTCCCGCCGCGGGGAGAGCGGGGGGAGGGCGCCTGTCCCGGAGTGACCCGGCGGCGGAGGAAGGGCGGGCCGCAGGCGGCGGGCCCGGGGGACCGTGAGCGGGCAGGCGAGGAGCGGGTGGAGGTCGACAGAGTGGGGGCCACGAGGCCGGCGCCTGGTCGGGAAGAGAGTGGGAGATTCCCCCGCGAGTTCAGACCCGGGACTGAGGGAAAAGACACTTGGAGTCCTGCGTCTCCAAGTTTTGCTCCAACGCCCTTGGCATTGAATGCATGTGTGGCGTCTATCCTGGCTCAGGCGATTTGATGTTTTCAATAGGCCTAACCTCACCAGTGGTGTGCCCGGCCCGGCTGGCTGGTGGCTCCTGTCCCCAAGCCCCCCGCCTTGCACCCACCATTTACGCAGTCACCAGGCCTTTGCACTGCCCAGTGCTGGAGGGGGCGACAAGAGCCTTAAAGGCTCCACGGAGGGCGGGCTCTTACCTTCTGACTTATTCCTCCTTGCGCTGCAGGGGGTACTGAGGTCAGGGGTCCGGTGGGAGGCTGGACTGTGTGTGTGTGATGGGCGGAGGAGTGGGGGGAAAGGAAGTGGGCGGTAGGTTGAGAGTCTGTAACAGCAGCACATCCCAGGTTCCACCCCCACCCACAAAGCTGGTCAATCCTCCCCTCTCCTGGGGTCTGTGTGAGAGGAGAGTACAAAGGTCAGATTGTCCAAAGGATAGTGGGTTCTGCTCTGAGAGTTAATCGTGAAGGCATCACGAAATGGCCATTGAATTTCTCGATCATCACAGAAGAAAACATACTACTTTGAGTTTCCTGAAGTGATTTTAATTTTCATCTGGGCAGGTGGTGATAACTTCAGGAAACACCAAAGACTAAAAAGAAAGGAAACTGCAGAAAGTGGAGGGCCACAGAAGCAGCAGCTCACAGGCTTTTTCTCAGGGGCCTGTCTCAGCTAGTGCTCCAGGACTAGCAATCCATAAACATTGCTTGCCCTGGGGAGGGGGGAGATTTCACCAATACTACATCTCTTCGATTTTTACCTATTTCCTTTACTTGGTCCTATTTTTACCTGGTCAAAGAAACACCTGTATCGTGTACTCAGATTTTCCCCTTAATTATAAGTTTCAAAAAAAAAAAGTCAATAAAAGACCAAATGGGAAGTGTTGAAGCACTGTCCAGAAACTGTAGTAATAGCAATATAAAAAGAAGGGTAGTGAACTGACCTTAGCAAATTTGCACTGCCACTAATTTGCTAGTCAAGTGACCCTAGTTTCCTGACTCTGTTTCTTTAGTAAAATGTGGGCGTTATCATAGGTGACCCCAAATCCTGAAGTTCCTTTGTGTGTGTGTGTGTGTGTGTGTGGAGGGGTGAGATTTAAAAATTTGATTCAAATAAATTTCCATTCGCTGTAGAGTTCAATATTTAATTCCCTGCCTGTTTTAAGCTGAGGAATAGATGTCTGAACATACATTTCCTCATCCTAAATCCCTTTGATCCTCTCATAATGCTCAAAGTGCAGTGTTGATGTCTGGCAGGCTTTGTGTTCAGTTTGTACCATTTGCAAATGTAGTGAGGATTACAGTGGAATGGAGGAAAGAATGGCTGCAGGATTTCTTGGACCAGAGAAACTCACACTTCTCTTTCCATTTTCACTCTCATTAGCACACAACTTTTAAAAGTTGGCCTGGGCACAGCAACACTTTCACACATCCATACTAAAATCCATGCTAATCTTTCCCATGGGATGTAATTCAATTGAATTGACATTCTAATAAAATACTGGCGAAGACACAATCACAGTTTCCCTGCAATGCGTAATTAAAATAGCACTATGCAGTTGCTTACACTTCAGATAATGGCTTCCTACATGTTGTTGGTTGTAAAATTTCAGGGTTTTCATTTCTGTATGTTAATAGAACATTTAAAAACTATCCTTTTTAGCAAAGTGGGTTGTAATCTTAGTTTGTCGTTGCTAGGAATGTGCTAAAGCCTAAGTCTGCTTTCAGATTGGTCTTGGGCAGTAATTTAATGTATCAAAAATTGCCTTCAAATCTGTGCTTTCTGTTGGTAGCTTACTGAGCCCCCTCTCCTACCTTGAAATCATTGGCACAGATATACATGTGCTTAGGAGTGGTTTGAATCTACCATATATACATTTGGGAAGTCTTAACTATCTTCTAAAAGACTAAAGAGTAAGGGATGATTTACCTTGGATAATGAAACTCAGATTTTGCTGTTGTTTCTGTTCCAAAGTGTTTTATACTGATAAAGCAACCCCAGTTTAGCATTGCCATTGAGAACACTGTGCCGAAATACTATGCACTTAAAATCTATGGTTGCTAAATTGTTGATACTCTAGGTTATGAATTAACCGATAGTCAAACTGAACAATTCCCCATTGACAGTTTTTGTTTAATGGCCAAGAACACCTGAAATTTGGATAAAGGAGCTGGAAAGGAAGAATGGGCCCCTTTGTGGATTCCTACATGTTTTAGGTAAAGCTTGATTAGTTGTTCCTCACCTGTATTCTGGGGCTATTTTTAGCAGTGCCCTTAGCTAGATGTATTTACTCATGGGGCATAACCTTACTGATACTGTACGTTTGTAATATTAACAATCTCTGACTTAGGAATGTGGTCTGAGTCATAGAACACCTCAGAAAGTGGGTAAAGCTTATTATCAAAGCTGGAAATGGCCACATCATTTATTGAGGCTCAAGGCATTTAAACACTAATGACTCGCACATGAACTCTAAACTAGGTTTACCCTCCAAAGTGGAGATAGGTCATGGCTGCCCAGACCAGTGAGGAGGGGGAGGATTGAACTGTGAAGTGTATTGAAGTATATTCCCTACAAGTGTTTCTCTTTGAGCAGAGCTGTATATTTAGGTAGACTGCTCTCAGGCAGAATGAAACAAGATGGCGCCCACCACTCACAACCAGGAACCAAACAGCAAATAATCCAAATTCTGTGTTTACAGGGCTTTCATGCTCAGTAAAATGCATAAGTACTTTTATTACGGTTCTTAAAATTAGAAAATCATACTTTAAAATAAAGCACTCCTACCCCCCTGCCTCCCGACCCCAGATCACATCCTCTTTTGGCTGTGTTAACAAAAATTAGGTCCAGGAGACAGAAGGGGGTGCACATATATGTGGGAACTGTGCAGAGTGAACAGTATTGGTAAAAGAAAATTAAGCTCAAGACAGAAACTAAATAGAGATGTGAAAGAGAAAGGCTAAGCTAGACTTTCAAGCAATTGAACATTTCTCATTTGTTTTACAGTGAGAACCGCTGCCCCACCAGACCAACAGTATTTTAAATGTGAATTCTGTCTCCTTACCAGCTGTTTCAATTAGGCAAGGTAGCTGTGTAACAAATAGACCCCAAGATAAATAATGGCACAAAGAATAGTCAATGATAGTTTTTCTTGGTTGGGGTGTAGTGGTGGCTATTCTCCTTCATGTTGTTACTCTAAGACCCTGGCTTTTCTTATCTGTGTCTCCACTATCCCTTTGATGTAATCTTTTGCATCTAGGTAGAAGGGGCAAAGTAGGGTCAAGGGAGCATCTGCTTGAAAGCTTTGAGCTAAAAGTGGCACACATAATTTTTGTTCACCTTCTCTTGGCTGGAACTCAGCCTTGTGGCCCTACCTCCCGTGAGAAAGCCTGGGGTATACGGCCCAGCTGTATGACAAGGAAGAGAAGGGAATGGAGCCTCTGCACAGCCAGCAGCCTGAGCCACATCATCTTATCCCAAATGCTGTAGTCATAATAGCAAATATTTATTAGTGCTTATTATGTGCTAAAGGCTTCATATACATTTTTTTCCCACTTAATTCTCACAACAACCCTATGAGGTAAGAAATATCACTCCCATTTTACAGATGGTGAAACTGAAGTTTGGCAAGGTTAAAAAAAACTTGCACAAAGCCGAACGGCAAATGGAGAGTCAGAACTCATACTTAAGATGCTCTTTGTCTGAGGGGTCAGAATTCTTTGCTAAGCTAGAGAATGGGCCTGGACAGGGAAGCAGAGACAATAGCTCACCAGTATCTTTCCCTCTTTTGCAAAGAACTAAAGAACTGTTATTTCTTCCTCCTTTGCCAAACGTCCCTTTGGAGATGCTGAGAGGAGAGAGGCTGGTGGAAGAATTGGAGGAGGGAGGTGATTAAATCACCTTAAATCTGTTTCAAAAATCTCCATTTTCAAAAGCTTTCTGTATTTAACAATGCTTGATTGTGAGAGACACTAGCCCCTTTTTGGGGCCAGCAGAGTAACAGAACGCAACTTCTAACAGACTGGCTGGCGTGCTAAGGTAGCAATTGTATTTAAATTTCAGTATCAGTAACTCTAGCTGGAAACACCTAAAGCAAAAGGAAGGAAGGGGTATCAGGGCACATTTTCACTCCTTCAATTGCTCCGGGGGCTACAGATGGAAAGTTTTATGTGACAGAGTTTATTTTTGCAACTTGCAATTTTCCTCTCCTTTGAAAATTAAGGTGGCCTAAAAAAGTCTTATATGTGGGCCAATACAGCAATAAATTTATGAAGTGAAAAAGTAAAGGTTTTGTGGTGTCATAAGCTCACCCACACTATACATACATTTATTACTTAAAATGCTCCAGATTTAAGTTTCATTTTGGAGCGAGTGTGTTATAAGCAAACTAACTTAGGATTTCAGAGTTTTTGAAATTAAATAGCAGCTCATGGTGCTCATGTAATTTGTTTATTTTTATAGCAATGTTATGTCCTGAAAATAAACAAACAAACAAAAATCAGAGTCTGAAAAGCTTCAAGGTTTGTATGTACCTGAGCACAGAAAGTTAGAAAACATTCACTTTTAATGAAGCCAACATTTTAAAATTTGAAAATTCTTTTAAAGAAAGTCAAAATTTGGATGATCGTTTTTAATGCTTAATTATACATATACATATATATGTATATCCATAAGCTATGAAAGTCAGTTAACAAAGGCATAGAAATAGGATGAAAAGTGTTCTTTAAAGGCGATTTGCTAAACTTCCCCACTGAGTTCTGTTTATCCTGACCTGGCAAGGCTGCTGTATTTCAATTCAGGGCTTCTTTTGCATACAGAAGTACAGACTTGCTGAGCTGAGCCAAATCTGTCTATCCAATTACTGGGTAAGAGAGCTGACTGTAGCTTTAGGCAAAACCTGTAATCTGTAAAACTCTATAGTATCAGTGACAGCCTAATCACAGGGAAGAACCAATAGAGTGTATATGTTACTTGAGTGTTACACAGATGCATAGTTCTCTCTACAAATAACCCACTTCAAATCTAACACCAAAGAGCGATGAAATATACAGAGCCTTGAAAAGAAATATCATTTGCTATCTCTACAGTAATTTTTGGATAGAAGGGTTTTCAAAGGGAAATAAATTCTCAGCAGTGTATTGCAAATCACTTAGCTGAGTACTAGTTTGAATGCTTTTATTACGTTCAATAAAAATCTGGTTTAGCAACTGTTGCTCTCAACATCTAGCTATTTTAGTGACTTTATAACATTTGGTAAAATTATATTTTGCTAGAATTTACATTGTTT